CACCGCCACACCAACCAGTACCACACCGCCACACCAGTCAGTACCACACCGCCACACCAACCAGTACCACACCGCCACCAACCAGTGCCACACCGCCACCAGTCAGTACCACCGCCACACCAACCAGTGCCACACCGCCACACCAGTCAGTACCACACCGCCACACCAGTCAGTACCACACCGCCACACCAACCAGTGCCACACCGCCACACCAGTAGTACCACACCGCCACACCAGTCAGTACCACACCGCCGCACCAACCAGTGCCACACCGCCACACCAACCAGTACCACCGCCACACCAGTCAGTACCACACCGCCACCTAACTGTCAGTTGTTATGGTGAGAAATAAATGATCTGTGGTTGAATATGAACAAACACACACACACACACACACACACGTAATATATATATATGTAGACACAATACCACCACAGTACCGGGACACACACTACCACAGTATACCGAGACACACACACACCACCACAGTACCGGGACACACCACCACAGTACTGGGACACACCACCACAGTAACGAGACACACACTACCACAGTATACCGAGACACACACACACCACCACAGTACCGGACACACCACCACAGTACCGGGACACACCATCACAGTACCGGGCTTACACACAGTACCGGCACTACCACAGTACCGGGACACACACTACCACAGTACCGGGACACACACCACCACAGTACCGGGACACACACCGCCACAGTCCGGACACACATCACCACAGTACCGGATCACACCGCGTACCGGACACACACTACCACAGTATGCCGAGACACACACACCATCACAGTACCGGGACACACCACCACAGTACAGGACACACTACCACAGTACCGGGGACACACACTACCACAGTACCTGGACACACACCACAGTACCGGGACACACACCACCACAGTACCGGGACACACACTACACAAATTGCCGGGACACACACTACCACAGTACCTGGACACACTACCACAGTACTGCGGACACACCACCACGGTGCCGGGACACACTACCACAGTACCTGAGACACACACACCATCACAGTACCGGGAACACACACTACCACAGTACCGGGACACACCGCCACAGTACCGGACACACATCACCACAGTACCGGGATCACACCGCCACAGTACCGAGACACACACTACCACAGTACCGGGACACACACTACCACAGTATACCGAGACACACACACCATCACAGTACCGGGACACACACTACCACAGTACCGGGACACACACCGCCACAGTACCGGACACACATCACCACAGTACCGGGATCACACCGCCACAGTACCTGGACACACACTACCACAGTACCGGGACACACACCGCCACAGTACCGAGACACACACTACCACAGTACCGGGACACACACTACCACAGTATACCGAGACACACACACACCATCACAGTACCGGATACACCACCACAGTACCGGGACACACACTACCACAGTGCCGGGACACACACACCATCACAGTACCGGGATACACCACCACAGTACCAGACACACACTACCACAGTACCGGGACACACACTACCACAGTATACAGAGACACACACACACCACCACAGTACCGGGACACACACACACCACCACAGCACCGGGACACACACACCACCACAGTACCGGGACACACACACACCACCACAGTACCGGGACACACACACCACCACAGTACCGGGACACACACACCACAGTATACCGAGACACACACACCACCACAGTACCGGGACACACACACCACCACAGTACCGGGACACACCGACGGACACACACTACCGTACCGGGACACACACACACCACCACAGTACCGGGACACACCTCCACAGTACTGGGACACACACACACCACCACAGTACCGGGACACACACTACCACAGTACCGGGACACACACTACCACACTACCAGACACACACACCACCACAGTACCGGGACACACACACCACCACAGTACCGGGAACACACACCACCACAGTACCGGGACACACACTACCACAGTATACCGAGACACACACACACCACCACAGTACCAGCACACACACACCACCACAGTACCGGACACACACTACCACATACCGGGACACACTCAAGACACCACACCACAGATGAGACACACACACACCACACACCACAGTACCGGACACACACTACCACAGATACCGAGACACACACACACCACCACAGTACCGGGACACACACACCACCACAGTACCCGGGACACACACACCACCACAGTACCGGGACACACACACCACCACAGTACCGGGACACACACACACCACCACAGTACCGGGACACACACTACCACGGTATACCGGAGACACACACACCACCACAGTGCCGGGACACACACCACCACAGTACCGGGACTACACACACTACCACAGTACCGGACACACACTACACAGTACCGGACACACACACCACAAGTACCGGCCACACACCACCACATACCGGACCACACACCACCACAGTACCGGGCACACACCACCACTCCGAACACACACACCCACCACGTACCGGGACACACACACCAGTCCGACACACACACCACCACAGTACCGGGACACACACTCGGGACACACACTACCACCACAGTACCGGACACACACACCACAGTAGGGAACACACACCACCACAGTACCGGGACACACTACCACAGTACCGGGACACACACACACCACAGTACCGGACACCCCACACACACCACAGATACCGAGACACACACACACCACAGTGCCGGGACACACACACACCACCACAGTACCGGGACACACACACCCAAGTGCCGGCAACACACACCACCACAGTACCGGGACACACTACCACAGTATACAAACACACACACCACCACAGTACCGGGCACACCACCACAGTACCGGGACACACACACAGTACCGGACACACACTACCACAGTACCGGGACCACACACCATCACAGTACCGACACACATCACACGTACCGGATCACCGCCACAGTACCGAGACACACACACCACAGACGGACACCACAGTCAACACACACACCATCACAGTACCGGGACACACCATCACAGTACCGGGACACACACTACAGTACGGGAATCCACAGTATGCCGAGACACACACACACCATCACAGTACCAGGACACACCACCACAGTACCGGGACACACACACCATCACAGTACCGGGACACACACTACCACAGTATACCGAGACACACACACACCATCACAGTACCGGGACACACCACCACAGTACCGGGACACACACACCATCACAGTACCGGGACACACCATCACAGTACCGGGACACACACTACACAGTATACCGAGACACACACACACCATCACAGTACCAGGACACACCACCACAGTACCGGGACACACACCACCACAGTACCGGGATCACACACGTACAGAGACACACACACACCATCACAGTACCGGGACACACCACCACAGTACCGGGACACACACACCACCATCACAGTACCGGGACACACCATCACAGTACCGGGACACACACTACCCACAGTATACCGAGAACACACACACACCATCACAGTGCAGGACACACCACCACAGTACCGGGACACACCGCCACAGTACCGGGACACACATCACCACTGTACCGGGACACATCAACGCACCCAGGCTTTTTAAAACAACAACAATAACAAAAATACTGCTACACCAACTACTACAACAACTACTACTGGTAATAATAATAATTTAATAAACCACGTCATAACAACTATATTGTACCTCCATAATGCACAGAAAAACAATACACCTCTTCAGACAATGTAAACTTAACAAAGGTTCCAATAACGTTATTATCATCAGAGTTAGCTACGAGTGAACTGCAATAATTATCAATGAGAGTATTATTCCCGGATATATTTCATAAAACATAAATATTTAAATCTACCCACGATGATCTCATGAATACAGTGGAATATATCAATGATTTTGAAGGTTAAAAGATAAACTGGCTGTACTGAATACGACCTGCCATCTGGGACGTTCAATACCTGGGAATATGCAATAACAGTACAAATAATATACAATTTTGACCTGTGGGCTAATTTCTGTCATTCTTTTGGTAACCTTAGCAACCGTGATAATTTATTGGAGTTGATTGGTGGTTATTAAGATGCTAAAAATGAGTGGAGATTGGTTACTGCTCGTCGATGTTGATTGGTTGCTGGTTATTAAGAAGCCAAAAATGGGTGGAGCTTAGTTACTGTTCGTCGATGTTGATTGGTTGCTGGTTAACGAGTCGAAATGCCACGTAAACATACCCATCAACGGACTAGACTTAGTTGATAGCTCACGACCTCTATGAAGAAATATAAGAGCTCAGATTCAATCCTCTTATGTACAGTGAAGTATTCAATAAAATTGATGTTTTGCTAAATGATACCCTTTGACTTCTGATCTGACCTCCCTGATCTTTGGAACCTCTGACCTAATTTCCTAAACGTGTCCTGGGTTGCAGATTAACATTAAGAAAAGTTCCGTACCTTAACCAGCAAGATATAGGAAATTATATTTTTTTTTTTTTTATTGGGCTCCCCTCTACATCCTTGTGTGTAGGTGAAGCGCAGAAGCGTTTACAGCGCCCAACACGGAAGCATGCTAAGTTCATGCATGCCTTATGTCTCATGAGATAAGGGCGTAGAAACCTGAAGAGTCAAGGGCGTAGAAGCCTGAAGAGTCAAGGGCGTAGAAGCCTGAAGAGTCAATGGTTTTATGCCTTCAGCAAGTTATTGGAAGCCCCAACAACTTGTCCCTGAATACGAATTCGCAACTTTCGATTTACAGCAGGTATCTACTTTGCTGCTAGGTGAACAGGGACCAAGGGGACTAGGAAGAGTGTCTAAACAACTTCCGCCGGCCCGGGAATCGAAGCTGTGACATCTTGCTTGCGAGGCAAGAGCGGTACCGCTCCACCAGCGCCCCCAGTGGAATGATAATGAGAGAAACAGCTCGAAGTGTCTATGTTATTTTAGGTACAAACTGACTTAACATAGTGATTAGATATTTGTTACAGGTTGATCTTAATTACTTAAATATAGTCCGAGTCTCTCTCACACACACACACGTATGCCAATACCCACGCTTCCTCTTGTTATGGGAGGCGAAGGTAATGATAATAATGTTTTATATACATGAAGCAGATTTTCCTCCTATATTTAATTTTCACACTAACTGGAGGGGGGAACACTACCATCACACTGGACCACTGCCGTCACTCTACACCTTCACTTGGTGTGTCCCTCGTTCAGGGGGTCAACCTTGCTGCAGGGGCTCTGACGTCACGCCCACCATACGCATCACCATGTCAGCGATTCACTGCCCGCAGGTCGAGGCTGTGTATAAGCTTCGCCAGGAGTAAGTGAAGTTGTGTCTCAGCCACCCGGCGACCAATACATGAACGAGCGCCCACGCCGAAGGGGATGAAGGCGTGGGAGTGAAGACGGCTGGTGGAGTTAGTGGAGGAAGGGAAGGTGTCGGGGGCTGACATGGAGGTGTTGGAGTAGGAGCAAGTGTGTGAAGGTTCAGTGGTGGCCTCGGGTACGTCCCTCAACCAGCGCTCAGGACAGAAGTGGTGAGGGTTGGAGAAGTGGGTGGGGTCACGCCCCGTTGTATACAGAGACAACACCACCATCGTCTGCTGGGCGAGATGGTTAGCAAGTCATGAAAGAGACATTTAGTGGCTGGGAAGACAGAAGTTAAGCAATTTCTTGTGGAACATTTCGTAGAGCTATGAACTAATTCCAAAATTTAATCGTGCATTCCCGAGAGAGGTTTCTACATATTACAGCTAGATAATAGTAAGGTCAGCTGGTGATCAAATATGCACATTCCTATTAATACTCAGAAAACTTTTGTAGGCCAAATATTATTACTATTTACTAAGTGAAGCCTCGGTACTCGTCTCTAAGACAGGAGCTATAGATTGTAATTATCCTTATATTTAGACACAAAGTGACTGATGACTGTCTATCTAGCTGCATTATTTAGAAACTCTCCTCTCGAGGTAAGAATAGTTCATACAATAATTCCACAAAAAGAGCAGTAAAACCATATATTTCCCCTTGAAAATGTCACATTGAACACAACGGAGTTTGGATGACACACGGGGGTACAGTAGACAAACACGGGATAAGTGGCCTAGACTTCAGAATATGATAAAAGTACAGATCACATTATCTTTACTTCTGTTTACTTAGATTATTAACTTATGCAGTTGTCTTTATATTTCCTTATTTATATACTGTATTCATTTGTGTCTTTTGAAAGTCTTTAGCATCACACAGTAAAGTGTGACCGACTCACCCCAGCTGGTACTTGGTGGCCAGAGAGCTGTGTGTCACGGTCCAGGACGCGAGTCTGGAAGGGCGCCACCGGGTACAGCCGCAGTGCCTCCTTCACCACGCTCTTCAGGTATGGCAGGGAGGCCAGGTGTTCCCCTTGTACGTTCCCAGATCCACCTACGGCAGCCATGATCTCCTCACGTGCTCGCTGGGCCTCTTGAGGGTAGCATCCCAGCAGGTAGAGGGACCAGATGGCTGTGTGGGACGTCTGGAAGGAAAAGTACCACAACATTCAGGGGTGTATGGAGGCCGTGTGAGAGAGAGGACAAGTTGTTTGTGTTATTATTTCAAAACACAAGAAAAACTTTGATTGGTGGTGTGGTTTCACTGTGTAGGAAGGAGAATGTGGTGATAATAATGTGTTTTGTGTAACATGGTATGGGGACAATAGCTGGTGGTGTGTGGGGGTGACATCGTGTGGGAGGAAGGTGGGCGTAACAATGCCACCACCTGCTGCCTATTTCTCGGAACTGCATCCTGGCTCTTTTGACGAACAGCACATCACCAACGAAAGTAGCAAAAAAAAAAAAAATTCTATTCTGGAAGAGGACAAAAAAGAGGAAGAGAAGAAAACAAGGGGTAGTAGTAATGTCTGTGGTTAAATGATGGAAGGAAACACTCCCAGTACCTACTGAGGGTACCCCTCCTTTCCCCACTCCTACTCCCAGACGCCTCTCCTCACCCATCCTCTCTCCCAGTAAACTCTGTGTATCCCCTCCGCCCCAGGAGCCAGTTGGACCCAGACACCACCCACTAAAACACCACACTGTCACCACACCAAGCAGGGACCACTTCCACGTAGGCTTATTCTGAGGTGACCAACAGCCCTCCTTGTGTGGGTGTCTCAGCACGCCGCCATATACCTCACAGTTACAACCGAGTCACCTCCTTGACCTCTAGTAGGTTAAACGAGATGGCGGCTATTACTATGGTACAGTACGTGTCTGTTACTATGGTACTGTACGTGTCTGTTACTATGGTACTGTACGTGTCTGTTACTATGGTACTGTACGTGTCTGTTACTATGGTACAGTACGTGTCTGTTACTATGGTACAGTACGTGTCTGTTACTATGGTACAGTACGTGTCTGTTACTATGGTAAGTGTCTGTCACTGTGTTACTAGTGAGTGTCTGTCACTGTGCTGGTAAGTGTCTGTCACTGTGTTACTATGGTAAGTGTCTGTCACTGTGTTACTATAATTCAAGTGTCTGTCGCGTGTTACTATAGTGAGTAATATGCTGTGTTACTATGGTAGTGTCTGTCACTGTGTTACTATGGTAAGTGTCTGTCACTGTATTTACTATATGGTAGTGTCTGTCACTGTGTTACTATGGTAAGTGTCTGTCACTGTGTTACTATGGTAGTAATGCTGTCACTGTGTTATATGGTAAGTGTCTGTCACTGTGTTACTATGGTAGTGTCTGTCACTGTTACTATATAGTAGTATGTCTGTGTCACTGTGTTATATAGTAAGTGTCTGTCACTGTGTTACTATATGGTAGTGTCTGTCACTGTTACTATGGTAAGTGTCTGTCACTGTGTTACTATGATAGTGTCTGTCACTGTGTTACTATGGTAAGTGTCTGTCACTGTGTTACTATGGTAAGTGTCTGTCACTGTGTTACTATGGTAAAGTGTCTGTCACTGTGTTACTATGGTAAGTGTCTGTCACTGTGTTACTATGGTAAGTGTGTCTGGCACAATGTTACTATGGTAGAAGATGTATACTCATGTTACTATGGTAAGTGTCTGTCACTGTGTTACTATGATAAGTGTCTGTCACTGTGTTACTATGATAGTGTCTTGTCACTGTGTTACTATGGTAGTGTCTGTCACTGTGTTATGGTAAGTGTCTGTCACTGTTACTATGGTAAGTGTCTGTCACTGTGTTACTATGGTAGTGTCTGTCACTGTGTTTACTATGGTAAGTGTCTGTCACTGTGTATTTACTATAGTGAAGATGTCTGTCACTGTTACTATGGTAAGTGTCTGTCACTGTGTTACTATGGTAAGTGTCTGTCACTGTGTTACTATGGTAGTGTCTGTCACTGTGTTACTATGGTAAAGTGTCTGTCACTGTGTTACTATGAAGCAGTATGTCACTGTGTTACTATGAGTTAAGGTAATGCTGTCACTGTGTTACTATGTTAGAGTGTCTGTCACTGTTACTATGGTAAGTGTCTGTCACTGTGTTACTATGGTAAGTGTCTGTCACTGTGTTACTATGGTAAGTGTCTGTCGCAATATTCACCTATGGTAAGTGCTGTCACTGTGTTACTATGGTAAGTGTCTGTCACTGTGTTATTACTATGGTAAGTGTCTGTCACTGTGTTTACTATGAGCAAGTGTCTGTCACTGTTACTATGAAAGTGTCTGTCACTGTGTTACTATAGTAAGTGTCTGTCACTGTATTTTCATAGTAGTGTCTGTCACTGTGTTACTATGGTAAGTGTCTGTCACTGTGTTACTATAGTAGTGTCTGTCACTGTTACTATGGTAGTATGTCACTGTGTTACTATGACAGTGTGTCACTGTGTACTATGGTAGTGTCATGCTGTAATTTTGCAAATGGTGTCTGTCACTGTTACTATGGTAAGTGTCTGTCACTGTGTTGCAGAGTAAGTGTCTGTCACTGTGTTACTTATGGTAAGTGTCTGTCACTGTGTTACTATGGTAAGTGTCTGTCACTGTGTTACTATGATAGGTATACGTAACATGTTTACTATGGTAAGTGTCTGTCCTGTTACTATGGTAAAGTGTCTGTCACTGTGTTACTATAGTAAGTGTCTGTCACTGTGTTACTATGGTAAGTGTCTGTCACTGTGTTACTATGGTAGTGTGTCACTGTGTTACTATGGTAGTGTCTGTCACTGTGTTACCTTGTGCGTGCTCTGTACTGTGTTTTATGGTAAGTGTCTGTCACTGTGTTACTATAGTGATGTCTGTCACTGTTATGGTAGAGGTGTCTGTCACTGTGTTACTATGGTAAGTGTCTGTCACTGTGTTACTATGGTAGGAGTGTCTGTCACTGTGTTACTATGGTAAGTGTCTGTCACTGTGTGTTACTATGGTAGTGTCTGTCACTGTTACTATGGTAAGTGTCTGTCACTGTACATGGTAAGTGTCTGTCACTGTGTTACTATGGTAGTGTCTGTACTGTTACTATAGGTAAGTGTCTGTCACTGTGTTACTATGGTAAGTGTCTGTCACTGTGTTACTATGGTAAGTGTCTGTCACTGTTACTATGAGTAAGTGTCTGTCACTGTGTTACTATGGTAAGTGTGTGTCACTGTGTTACTATGGTAAGTGTCTGTCACTGTGTATTTACTATGGTAAGTGTCATGCTGTGTTACTATGGTAGTGTCTGTCACTGTGTATTTTCTGGTAAGTATACTCCTTCATGTTACTATGGTAGTGTCTGTCACTGTGTTACTATGGTAAGTGTCTGTGTCACTGTGTTACTATGAGTAAGTGTCTGTCACTGTGTTACTATGGTAAGTGTCTGTCACTGTGTTTACTATAGTAGTGTCTGTGCTATGTTACTATGGTGAGTGTCTGTCACTGTGTTACTATGGTAAGTATCTGTCACTGTGTTGTTACTATGGTAGTGTCTGTCACTGTGTGTTACTATGGTAAGTGTCTGTCACTGTGTTACTATGGTAGAAATTAATGTATGCTGTATTACTATGGTAAGTGTCTGTCGCATGTGTTACTATGGTAAGTATGTCACTGTGTTACTATGGTAGGTATGTCCGCTGTGTGTTACTATGGTAGTGTCTATGCCTGTTTACTATGGTAAGTGTCTGTGCATATGTTACCTTGGTAGTGTCACTGTTACTATGGTAGAGTGTATCACTGTTACTATGGTAAGTGTCTGTCACTGTGTTACTATGGTAAGTGTCTGTCTCTTTCTATTACTATGGTAAGTGTCTGTCACTGTAATATTTACTATGGTAAGTGTCTGTCACTGTTACTATGGTAAGGTATGCATGTATTTACTATGGTGTGTCTGTCACTGTGTTACTATGGTAAGTGTCTGTCACTGTGTTACTATGGTAAGTGTCTGTCACTGTGTTGTTACTATGGTAGTGTCTGTCACTGTGTTACTATGGTACAGTGTCTGTCACTGTGTTACTATGGTAAGTATCTGTCACTGTCATTTACTATGGTAAGTGTCTGTCACTGTGTTACTATGGTAAGTGTCTGTCACTGTGTTACTATGGTAAGTGTCTGTCACTGTGTTACTATGGTGGTATGTCACTGTGTTACTATGGTAAGTGTCTGTCACTGTGTTACTATGGTAAGTGTCTGTCACTGTGTTACTATGGTAGTGTGTCTTTGTGTTACTATGAGTAAGTGTCTGTCACTGTGTTACTATGGTAAGTGTCTGTCACTGCAGTACTATGGTAAGTGTCTGTCACTGTGTTACTATGAGTGTCTGTCACTGTGTTACTATGGTAAGTGTCTGTCACTGTGTTACTATGAGTAAGTGTCTGTCACTGTGTTACTATGGTAAAATGTCTGTCACTGTTACTATGGTAGTGTCTGTGCTGTCATTTACACTTCATAGTAAGTGTCTGTCACTGTGTTACTATGGTAAGTGTCTGTGTCACTGTGTTACTATAGTAGTGTCTGTCACTGTTACTCTCAGTAAGTATTATAGCCGTTACTATGGTAAAAGTGTCTATTCCACTGTGTTACTATGATGAGGTAATGTGTGTCACTGTGTTACTATGAGTAAGTGTCTGTCCTGTGTTACTATGGTAGTGTCTGTCCTTTCAATGTTACTATGGTAGTGTCTTGACAACATTTACCATGGTAGAGATATGCATGCTGTTACTATGGTAGTGTCATGCCGTCACTGTATTGCATGGTAAGTCTTATATACTGTATTTTTATGGTAGGAGTGTCTGTCACTGTGTGTTACTATGGTAAGTGTCTGTCACTGTGTTACACTATGGTAGTATCTGTCGCCTGTGTTACTACTGAGTAGCAGTGTCTGTCACTGTGTTACTGGTAAGTGTCTGTCACTGTGTTACTGTGGTAGGAGTGTCTGTCACTGTTACTATGGTAGTATACATGCTGTGTTACTATGGTAAGTGTCTGTCACTGTGTTACTGTGGTAGATGTCTATACACTCATTTATATGGTAAGTGTCTGTCACTTTGTGTTACTATGGTAAGTGTCTGTCACTGTTACTATAGTG